AGCATGTGGGCGCCCGAGTCGCCGCTCTCGCCCAGCACCGTCTTGGCCTTCAGCGGCGACGGCGAGGGCGAACTGGAGCCGGGTCGCTCCTGTCCACCAGCCTCCTCCTTGTGGGCGGGACTCACATCCCCATCTCCGGTTAGGGTGGGCGATGGCGACAGCTCAATGTGATCGCTACTGCCGTTGTCCGGCTCCTGCTCGTGCTCCTGCTCCTGCTCGGCATCCGGATCCTGGTCGAGCTCCTGGCACTCGGACTCCTGCTCCATGCGCGAGCACAGCTGCACGTACTTCTGCTGCATCTCGGCCAGCTGCTCCTGCATGGAGCGCAGCTGCGACTTGAGCGCGTTCTTCTCCACCCGCTTCTGCTGGATCTGCGGCGACTCCAGCTCGTTGGACTCGCTGTCCTCCTGGTCGAGCATCATGCTCTGCAGGTTGAGGCCGAAGTTGAGGCCCGCTGCGGCGGCCACATAGCGCTCCATGGCGTGTTGCTGCGGCTGGTAAAGCTTGCGCTTCTTGCAGCCGTTCACCTGCAGTTGTCCGGACTGCACCAGACCGGAGGATGGGCTGCATCGCATGCCCGACACGATGTTCTCGACGCGGGCGCGCTTCAGCTCCATGCCCGGCTTCTTGAGGCAGCCGCCGCCACTGCTGCTGCTGGACTCGCGCTTCTGCTCCACACAGTCGTCGTCGTCGTCCTCGTCGAGGACATCGTCCTTGCTGTTGTCGAGCAGCATCATGTCCGAGTGACTGGGCGAGGCCAAGCTCTCCAGGTCGGAGCCACGCGAGTGCAGGCCCAGCAGCTCCACCTCGTCGAGCATGTCGTCCACGGCCTCCTTCTTGGTGGGCATCGACATGGACATGGGCATGGACATGGGCAGCTGGCTGGCCTCTGGCTTGGCCGCGGCCTGTTCCTCCTCGTCCTGCGCCTCGTCCTGGGCCCCCCGGCTGTCCAGGGAGTCCGAGGACTTCCTTCGCAGACTGCCATCGCTGGCCAGGCTGCTGTGGCTGCCGTGGCTGCCGTGGCTGCCGTGGCTGCCGTGGCTGCTCCTGCCACTCCCACTGCGGCTGCTGTGGCTGCTGCCGTGCGGCGATTGCTGCGGCGGCGGGGCCGTCTGCGGCTCACTCTTGATTTTAATGTCCGCCATCTCCGAATCGTCGATCAGGTTGATGCTCTCCATGGTGTTATTGTTATTGTTATTGTTGTTGGCGGTGGCAGCAATATTGTTGTTATTATTGTTATTGAGCTTGGAGTGCAAATGCTCCTTCTCCTGCAGTTGCTGCTGTTGCTGCTGCTGTTGCTGCTGCATGGCAGTGCGCAACTCCTGGTCCAGCTGCATCAGCTCCTTCTTGCCCTGCAGTATGTTGCGCAGCATGTGATGGGCCACCAGATCGTGTTGCAACTGCGACTGATGCTGATCGCCATTGGCCCCGCTGGCACCTCCGTTCAGCGAACTCACCGATGCCGCTCGTGGCGGCGAGCCACCGGCAACATCTGCTGCTGCCGCCTCCAAGGAGCGATCACTGCAGGCCGACACCCGGCGACTGCCCTTCGGCGAAACGCCCTGGTGTGAGTGACTTGAGCTGTGGGCCGATCCCGGCGAGATCGAGGCGTTCGTGCCATTGCTCAGCGGCGTGTTGTTTGCAGGCGCAATGCTGTTGTTGTTCACATGCTGCTGCTGCTGCTGTTGCTGCTGTTGCTGCTGTTGCTGCTGTTGCTGCTGCTGCTGCAGCAACTTGGACGTGGAATTGAGGCTGCCGATCAGCAGCTCGGCACTGGTGGCCGTCTCCATGGCGGCGGCCAGCATGGCGTTGTCCAAACTCTGGGGCAGGCCACTCGTTGCGTCCTGGGCCTGCTTCATCTGGCGGCCGAAGAGCTCGTTCAGCATCTTGGCCGAGGAGCCACCGAACAGGTTGCCAAAGGCGGCCGTCAACAAGGACGAGGCCGAGCTGGCGCCCGAAACCGGTGAGTTGCTCGTGGGCGAGTGGCTAGATACGACTGTAGCCGGTGTGTTTGTGCTCGAACTATTATTGTTGTTATTAATATTATTATTACTGGCCGTGCTGTTGACCGATTGTGGTTGGAACAGGGCTCCTCCACCAGCGGCACCCGCAGCAGCCGCGGCAGCGCTACTCATGAAGCCAGCAGCGGTTGCCGTTGCTCCGCCGTTGCTGCTATTGCTGTTGCTGTTGCTGTTGCTAATACTATGACTGATCGATTGCTGATTGCTTATGTCTTTGCTCAAGGATCTTTGACGCGAACGACGATTCACTTTACTATTCGCGTTTCCGTTTCCGTTTCCCGTACCGCTACCGTTTGAATTCACGTTCAAATTCTTGGCTGTTGGCGTGGGCGCTAATGTTGCTGTTGGTTTTTTAGCCGCGCACGTTGTTGTCTTGCCGACGGCCGTTGACTGACTGATTTGCCGACTACTGCGGGCGCTGCGATGACTGCGACTGCCGACACTGCGATTACAATGGTTCGCCGTCGTCGTCGTCGTAGTTGCCGTTGTCGTTGTCGTTGCCGTTGCCGCCGCCTTGTGGTTGTTGCTGCTAGCGTTGCTGCTGTTGCTGTTGCTGCTGCTGCTGGCGTTGCCTTCGCAGCCTTCGAGCACGACAACGACGTCGTCGTCGGAATCGTCGGACTCGGCCTCGTCGTCGTTTGTTTTCTCCTTCGCCTTCTCTCTCTCTTGCTCCTTGTCTGCGTCTGTATTGGTGTTGCTGTTGTCGCTGTTGCCGCTGTTGCCGCTGTTGCTGCTTGTATTGGTATTAGTCTTGGTACTCTCGCCGCAATTCGCCGCGTTGGCGTCGCCGTTGATTTGTAAGGGTATTGGTGACGTGTGACCGTTGCTGCTCGGCGGTGGTTGCTGATGTTGCTGCTGTTGATGTTGCTGATGATGTTGCTGCTTGGTGGCCGCTGTTGTCTCCGGCTCGGTTGCCTTCAGCAGCACGTTGTTCTCATCGCTGTACAAACCAAAACAGTCCGCCTCGTACTCCTCTGATGACATCATAAGATGATGCCCACCAGCAGCAGCAGCAGCACTCTCGCCTGCTTTACCTGCTTTCTCCGCTTTCTCCGCTTTCCCCTCAGCAACCCCTCGGGCAATCTCTACGCTTCTTCGGATTGGCTGGCTTTTCCCCTGCGCGGCGGCAAAGAGAGAGAGCGAGATTTCGCCGCGGCGTATGCGTGATTTCAAGTTTAAGTCCTGGTCGCGGTCCTTTGGTCCTTTGGCCGCTTTCTAAGCCAAAGTGTTTGTTTGGTATCCTTCTGTCCGTTCTTTTTTGTTTTTTTTTTTGAGTCCTAGTCCGAGTCCGTGTGAGACGAAGGGGCTGTGGCTATCGATGTGTGTTGCTGCTGCGCTTTCAAAACCGCTTGCTCCTGCAATCCTGGCTGCCTGGCCGGGATGTCCTTGCTGCTGTTGCTGCTGCTGTGTTGTAGTGCGCCAAACGTTGAAATTTTGCTGTCTCCCAACTTTTTGGTCGAAATGTTCCAGTTCAAAATTCTTCCCGCTGTTGACAGTTGGTTGCTGTTGTTGCTGCTGTTGCTGCTGTTGCTGTTGGCACTCTTGATTTTGTGTCTGCGTTTTCTACGTTTTTTCCTGCGTTTTCTAATTGTGAATTTTGTTTTGAATTTTCTTTCCACCACCACACACATGCGAATGTCCTTTGCATTTAATTTTATTTAGATTTGATTTGTATTTCCCTTCGTTTGACTCCCGTTCTCGTTCTCCAAGTAATGCTGGTGCTACTCCTTTCCAGTTTGTTTACGTTTTCGCTTTGATTTGATTCTCAAAAGTGTGCTTTCGATGCTTTGCCCGAAAACTTGCGAATGGATTCTTGAGATTTCTTTTTCGTTTTTCGTTTTTGTCGATTTTTTGTCGATTTTTGTCGTTTTGGTTTTTAGTTGGTTTGGTTTGGCTTGGTTTTTCGTTTTAATAATCCTTGCTTGCGCTCAAAAATTCTTTCTGCAAAATTAATGGGAGGCGTAAGTTGGAATATCTGCTGTGGAAACATTGGGACTGAGAATGGGCGAGTGTTTAAATGGAAAGTAAAAGTGGCTGGCCCGAATCTTTTGGTTTGGTTTGGGTGGCCACTTGATTGGTGCTCGGTTTTGGGGCTGTCCAGGGGATGGCTGTTAGATCCTGAGAGGGTGAGCTGGTGGATGGGCATTCAGGGTGCTGTCCTTAATTCAGCACAACCCAACAACCCTTCCACCCTCCCACATCAGACTGGTTTTTATCTAATTTCTCCACTTGAGCTTATTCTCTGCCCTCTGCCTGTCTCTGTGCGAGTGGGGGAGTGAGTCGGTGTGTGTAGCCGCCCCTTTCTGTACCCCTTTGTACAAAATAAAGATAAGTCACTTGGTTTTCGCTGATAAACAAGTTTGACTTACTTTCCTCTGCCACAGATACAGATACAGATACAGAGACAGATACAGACACAGACACGTAGATACTTTGCATATGGCCACGGGTCGAATGCGTAAGCACTCGAAATAATCAATACGGGGACTTTGGAGCTCGCCAAATGCGTCAAAGCATCGAATATCGATCACACTTGGTGTATATATACTATGTACTACATAGTTGAATCGTTACAGTGTCTAGGGGCCATATGCATTTCCCAAGAATCCTCCCCTTTCGGGCCCTTCGATTTCAATTGCGAGTGCAATGGAATGCAGGCCGTAGGCCCAAGTCAATGTCAACGGAAGCCACCCCTCCGTTGCTCGAACCTTTTTTGGGCAACTGTACCTCCTCGGGCCTGCAGCTTGCAAGGACAACCCAGAGGGAAAGAGGGTGAGGAGGCAACGGGCCAAGGGACAGAAGCAGGAGCAGGAGCAGGAACAGAAACTGAAACAGCCACCCCTATGCAGGACTTATTAAGTTGAGGTCGGTTTAGAGGAGAGCCAGGGCATTCCTGTGCACAGCAGATCGGGATATTGGAATTGTCAAAATTACCACAAACAAAGCGTTATTTTTCTCTGTCGTCCATCATAGATCCTCCTGCAATGGAAAAAGAATTTCAAGTTCGTTAGTTGCTTAAAGAAAGAAAATACTAAGAAGCACTTAGGTACGTAGGTAATGTATCAAATAACATCTTATTGTTCTAAAGCTTACAATTAAATGTTACATATTTTATAGAAAATGCAAGAGACCAATTTCCTAATATGAATAGTTGAACTTTCAATATTGTTTTAAGTTTTATTCTTAACTGAAATTTCAATTGATTTTACCAATGAATTTTTATTAATGGCTTTTGATAAATCTTTTAATGATTTTAGAGAACGTTGTTGTTTAAGACTGCCATTAAAGAGCATTTTTTTCCTAGTTCCTTACAAATTTCTTACTGCAAGTATAGGACTCTATTATGTTTCAGAAATCTGATAGGTAGATGAGACCCACGTGCCCCTATACTTAAATCGAAGAAAACTACTTAATTGTCCAGTTGTGTGTGCAACCTTTTTTTGAGGAACGCTTTCCTTAGACACTCTTGTACTGCTGCGATAGACAGTTGGCAATCCCAAGTTCAATGCACCTTCGGGACGAGGGTTTGGGCTGGCCTGGTCTAGGAGCGCTATCAATGGGCCTAGGCCCTTCTGACTTCAACCCCGCGAGGAGCGCATAGAGGGCAACATCAACATATGGCGCTGGCCAAGGAAAAGAAAGGAGAACAAGGAGCAAAGAAAGTTGCCAGCTGAGGCGAACTTCCACCTACTCACGGCAGCGCAGATAATTACGACCTTAACACATTTTCCGTTCATGTTGCGATGAAAAACGCTGGCTTCGGATACTTTGCATGCGCTGGAAATGAGGGAGGCGCCTGCTTTTCGGAGGGGGAGGGGGTAGGGGGTTCAGTGTATCTCAAAGTGTGCTTTGGAATGTGCCTTCACAGATCGCGGCACACGGTAATGTATTCGTCGCACAAACGACCGAAGTGTGGCACGGCCATGTGCTCTGTTCTGTATGCTCAGTATGTTCTGTACGTTGTGTACATCCCTCTGCTTCTCGTGGTCGGGTGTCATCATTAAAATATGCTTTGGCTCATAAAAAGAGCTCACGGGGGGAGGTGGAATTGAGTTACGGTCAAGTGACTCTAAAATCCGTTAAAACAAAAAACTGTCCCAAAACCGAACTAGTGGCAATTAGGCCTTATGACTCCGCTTCAAAGATCCATTTGCCAGATTAAACAGCAATCTGGCGAGCTGAGATTCGCTGCAAATGGGAAATGCGCAAATGGTGGGGGAAATCTCGAAGAGCAATGCGAAACCGGGACGGAATCTGCAGCCCCTATGCCAATACGGATGCGGAAGGAAACGATCGCCGCAGCCAACAGCTGATGATCGCAAACGATTGCTTGGAAGCAAGGGGAGTTCTGATACACTGAGGATTATAATCGAATTTTTATTTTTAAAAATACCAAATTTAAGAAGGATGCAATTCTGTCTTTTTTTTTTTAGCCGTTAAAACTTATAAATGTTTTAAAACACCTTTATACGTTTTTATAAACTTTATTTAAATTTATTGATAATATTTTGTAATAAAAGAATTTTTTATTTTACATAATTCATTTCAGAATAAAAGATAATTTATCTAATCATAATTTTTACAATATATACATTTTTAACAAGAAAACTAAATGATTTCAAATTTGATAACAATGAGATCCCTATTTGCGACTTAACATGGTTTTGCCCTTCTATGAACCTAGTCCCAATACAAATTTCTAAACAAGGTAAGCTTGCTGGGTTTTGTCTTTTTCTTCGAGTGTTCAGGTTATGGTTATGGCACGTACTTGGCAGCCACGAGCGAAGAACGATGATCGGAGCACACCTGGACTCGCTGTCTATGCCTCAATGCGCGTGCGCACAAGCTGGCGATCGCCGGAGGAAGGAGGTGGAGATCGGGGGTGGGGGATGAGGGTGAGGATACGAGCGTATGAGGATGAGGAGCAGGGGCAGAAGGAGTCGAGGAGGCAAAGAAGCGAAGAGGCAAAGCCAGGCAGACGGAACCAAAGGGAAAGGGGCGTGCTTGGTGGTGGCAGTTGACATTTATGGAGTCGGGAACCGATTTTTACCTGATCCCAGTGCTATTTGCCTAACGGGTGGTGCGGAAGTCGTCCGAAGTCGACAACATCAATAAAGTTCCGAAACACCTTTCAACTCGCTTTGGCTTTGGCATTCATTGCCAATGCAGTTGCAGTTGCCAGCTCTAATCCTGGTACAAGCACATTAAAATTATGTTGCCGCAAAGTTTGCTGGCAGTCGTTTCCACCAGAATTGGCAGCAACTTTGTGAAGTGAATTGTGCTAAAAGAAAATGTCCTTCTCAGCCTTCTCTGCCTTCTCCAGCTCCGGCTGTCTCAAACCGGCATTTTATGCGAAAAGTTTGCTCTGAACTTGCCAAAAGGTCTCTGTGGCGGGATTGCAATGCAGTAAACTCGAATTATTATGATGTCAGCCCAGCCTCAGTTATTGTTATGGCCACTGTTGGGTTTCGGGGGCGCCTTTGGTTGGTTTTCGGAGGATGAGGTGCACGCTCCTTGGCTAAGCCCCCGACTGCCAGATAAGATACTCGCACAGATACTCGTACATGGAAACACTCTCACAGATATCGCCGTTCGGTCGCCATATGGCGGCCCATAGATACGACATCCGTGCGATACTTTCGAGTGGAGCCGGGCAAGGTTTTCCCGCTGCACTTAGCCAGCGAGAAGTAGGTTGCCTGGCATCCTCTGTGAATTTCTAAAAGGGGTATTTGCAGTGCAGAGGAGGGTGCGGCCAGACAGAAGTTATTCAAAATATTGGATGTGAAAATAATATTGCTACAATTGTTGCACAAGCCAAAAAAGTTTCAATTTAGAGTGTACTATAAGAAATATTTGGCTAACTAAATAATAAATATTAAAATACCCAGATGGTTAAAAACAAAACTTTTTAAAGAGTATTAATGAAATTAAATTCTGTGATCTTAAGAGCAAGTTGTACAAATAATTTGAGATTTTATGAGTGTTTTTTCTGCATTATTCAGTTTAGCCTTTCCTTCGACCGAATGTGGTTTCAAATTGACAGATTCAGAATTGCTAATCTTAAATTAGCGGAAGCTTAAATCTTTTATTCCAGGGTATCCGTTTGACTTCAACGCAATTTGATGGTCTTGTCCTGCTGTTGTGTTCAGACATAAGCACATTTTGTGGTCGCTGTTTGTCGTGGCTGCGTTGTTGGCTTTTATTGTCTTTCAGCGCTTGATTAGATAGCACACACACATACACACACACAGCCTGGGATACTACGGACACCCATACACGGGCAGGAGCACGGCGAGATACAGATACGGATACGTATACGGGCCAGGCACGCAATGGCAGCCAGAAAATGGCCATGTGTGGCCAAGTCGGCTCCCACTGCTCATTTTTCCGACTTTTGTTTGGACAGTGGTCGCCGGTCGCCGGTCGCCGTTCGCCGTTCGCGTTCGACTTTGAGGCTTTTCCACCTCCTTCTGCCCTCCGTTGGGCTTTTGTCCGTCCTGTAAGCCTGCACCTGCACCTGCACCTAATACCCCACCTTCGTGTCTAGTGCTTATCGCGCTTTTGATATCGAAACAAAAAAAAATAATAAAAAAAAATAAAGAAAGAAAGGGGGGCAAAATGCATGCCTAACGTGTGTCCTTTTGCTTCGCCTATCTATGCAGATATCTTTCTCTGTCTCTGTATGTGTGTGGGTGTGCAAGGTGGGTGGTGAGGGTGGCAAGAGGGGAGCTGGCAGCTCGGGCATTAAAAACATTTTCATTGTAATCAAGCGTACTTTCTTTTATTATTATTATTTTGCCTCTCTTTCCGGCACTAACGACGCAAATTACTCAAATGTATCTGGCAGATACTTTTTGTTTTCCGCCTCGATGTCGTTCGTGTATCTATCTGTCGCTACCCGTCTCTGTCTAGAGCAGCTCGTATATTATTTATTGATCGCGATAAGCGTCACGAAGCCAATTTCAAGCGTTAGTCAAATGATACTTGCCTCCCCCCAATCCCATCCCAACTCTTAATCGTAAGTGCTTTTTGCACTCGCTTCCAACTAGCCAACTAATTTGAGTACAGTCCCGTCAGGCTATGGACGTTCCAGAACTTCCAGAATTTCAGTATGAAGTCCCACTGATTTCCCCCTAACATCCGCTTTGGTGCGTGGCAGTAACCCTCTTTCGGTGCATTGTTAACGTTGCAATCCGAGGTGCAGCTGGCAGCATAAGTCACCCCCTCTAAGCGTCTTGAAGACGCTCTGGGAAACCAACTGTCGTCGATCGTCGGCCGTTACATTTTCCTAGGGTGTGGGCCATGGGTCTTGGGCTGTGTCCTGCAGTCTGGCGTGTGCTGCTCGGGCACGGAGCGTAAACGGAGTCTCGAAGTCACCCAGTGGAACTTTAAGGCACTCCATAGCTCACTAAATCTACACCCAAAAAAACAAATTGCCATAGGAACTCAACTATTGTTAAATTAATTTTAAAGTGTTGGGTATGAAAAATGTCTTAATAAGATGAGAAAGTATAAAAATAAAACATATTTTACATAAATTTTAATCTATTGGGTATTATAAATTTCTCATAAAGATGAGTATTAAATTATTACCACGAAAGTATCAAACTTATGTGGTTTAAAAATAAGGCTAAAGAGTATAAGGGTATTAGTATAAGTACACTTTATTACTGTCTGTAGTTTATTTTCAAGACACTTTTATTAGAACAATACTTTTATTTTTTTTTGTTTTATGTGTACGGTTTTCCACATTTTAGGCCGGCTGTCTTTGTCCATTGTAACGTATTTCTTAGCCTTATTTTCAAGTTGAAGGAGTGGGAGTGGAAGTTTCAGCGAGCTGAGGAGGTGGAGGAAAACTTTGACACGCAACTTTGGCCGTTTGGTGGCTCCAAATGCTTAATAAATTCAATTTTTCGTGTGTCCAGTGCGTAATGTGTCCATTTAGCCGGGGTCATTACGAGACGCACATGAGCAGGCAT